TCCGCAGCTTCCTTCTGCGATATCACGTCCTCGCAGAAGGACACCACCGCGTCCCACGACTCTGCGCTACCGACCATACTACGAACCACGGCCGGCAGCGACAGATCGCCTCCCACTTCTGATGTGAGGGCACGGCGCTGCTCCTCCCAAGCCACACACTCGGCGAGCGTGTGTTGCGCCGTGTCCTCCCCACAATGGACGCAGTGGTGGCACCGAGCGTCCGGCTCCCTGTCTATGCGGCACAGGTACTTGCCGAAGCAACCGTGCCCCGACAATACCTGTGTCACCCTGAACGACAGGGAGCCATGCCTTCTCCCGAGCCAGTCGTCGAGTACTGGCCGGATCGCCTCGACGGTAGCGAGGCCGGCGGTAGGGCGCAGAAGCCTCTGCCGCCATTCCGCCACCAGGACCTGACGGAGCTCCTCTCGGCGCCGCGCGATCTGCCGCTGCACCGGTCTCGAGCCCCGTGCCCGCTCTTCCTCGCGCCATCGATATAATGACGCGAGTACTTTCGCCTCTAGGTCCCAGGGCGGGGATCCGGCCAGGACGCAAGCCGCCTCGTAGGAGATCGTGCGATACCCGCGGACGACTCTGACGGCCATCGCCCTCTGCGGCTTCCGCAGAATGGCGAGAGTACTGGCCGTCATGTCGAGCGCCCACACAGGGGCCCCATACAGGGCCATGGATCGCACGATTCCCACGTACAACCGCCTACAGGCGGCGCTCGGGCCCCCCAAGTTGGGAAGCAACGTTGAAAGCGCGCCTGCTGCACCCATCAGCTTGGGCGCCAGCCGCCGGAAGTGGGGACCGAATTCCCAACGGCTGTCGAGCACCAATCCCAGGTACTTCATGGTGGACTCGACAGCTATCCGGGTCCCACTGACCACGATGTGTGATCCCGGCGCCGGCGCGCGTCGGGGGCCATGAAACACCATGGCCTCCGACTTGTTCAGGGCCACCTCCAGGCCCAGGCGCCGGATGCGGTTCACCACCTGTGACACCGCAGCCGTGGCTATCAACGTCGCTTCCCTGTGCGAGCTCCCCCGGGCAGTGACAAGCGTGTCGTCCGCATAACACGTCAAGTCGGCGCCCGACGGGAGTTCGCCTCTCAGCACCCAGTCGTATCCGATGTTCCACAGGAGCGGTCCCAGGACCGATCCCTGTGGGACACCGCACGACGTGAGGCGCCGACCGGCACCGTCACGTCCCCGATAGGTGACGCATCTACCTTCCAGGTAAGCCCCTACTGTACGGCGGAGGTAGGGAGGCACACGGTGGTAATGCAGCGCCTCCCGAATACAACTCCAGGGCAGGGTATTGAAGGCGTTGGAGATGTCCAAGGACACCGCCAGCACCACCCCACACCGTTTCCTCCGCCAGGGCCCTCACGCGCATGATGGCATCTATGGTGGAGCGCCCCCGACGAAACCCAAACTGTTTATCGTCTAGGTTCGGCCCCTCCCTGCACAAGTGGCTGACGAGGCGATCTGCGATAATACGCTCAAAAAGTTTGCCCGCCTCGTCTAGCAACACTATGGGCCGATACGCGGACGGCGAGTCCGCGGGGCGCCCCTCCTTCCTGAGCAGGACCAGCCTCCCCGCCTTCCACACACTGGGAAACTGGCCCCGCTCGAGACATGCCGTGAAGAGCCCCCTCAGCTGGGGCTCTAGCTCCTTCAGAGCTAAGACGAGAGCTCGACCAGGAACTCCGTCGGGTCCGGGCGCTGTGTTCTTGGCCCGGAGTCGCGACACGGCCGCTCTCGTCTCTGCTTGCGTCACCTCGGGGACATCGGTGCTCTCCTCTTCTGGAGAGTCTGTGGCTGAGGGCGAAGCCATCGCCGGGGGAACGTGTCCCGCTCGCTCAGGGAAGAGGGCCGACACTACCGCCTCTAGCAACTGGGGTTGCATCGTCTGGGTAAGTGGAGGCGCCCAGGCCCGCAGCTTGCCCCGTGCCCAACGGTAGGGGCGCAACCTAACCTAACCTAACCTAACCGTTTCTTTCTTTCATTCTTTCATTCGTTTTTTTTTTTTTCTTTCTTTCTTCCTTTCATTCTTTATTTCTTTCTTTCTTTTTTCTTTCATTCCTTCTTTCTTCTTTCTTTCTTTCTTTCTTTCTTTCTTTCTTTCTTTCTTTCTTTCTTTCTTTCTTTGCTGCTCGCTGATGCCATGTATGACACTGAAGGTCGGCGGATTAGGATGGGATGAGATCCGTTTATGCATTCTACCCTTGGAGACGAGTTTGTTTCTCGCAGGATAATCCCAACACTGCTGCTGACTCTCTTGCTGATATGGTGTTGCAAGGGATGGTACTCTTCGTTCCGTCCTCTGTGGTCCTCGTCGGTGGCAGATCTCGGTCCTTGGTTCGGCTCTTTTTCTAGAAAAGTTTCGTTCAGGAAGCAAAATGCTTACCCAGCCTTGACTGATGCAGCGGCGGCGCGGGATGTAAATAACGTTTTAAAAGGAGTACAACTTTGCCTCCAGGTCCTTCAAAAGAGTTATAGCGGGTCCAAGTCAAACCATATCGGTAGAGTTGGAGAGAGGCTTAAGCTTTTTTTTTGTTTTTTTTTCAGGAACTCTTTCGTTTTGATGTCTCGCCAAGCTATCAAAGGCAATTTCTGCAGACCATCATTCTCACCTCTGCACGTGGGGGAGTAGTTTACCTGACACACTGTTGGGCACAGGCGATCGAGTCCAAGGGAGAAGCGATGGCAGTCATTGTGGAAGTAGCGAAGGCCTTCGATCGGGTATGGCACAAAGAGTTTTTTCGACGCTGCCTTCCTAATGAGCTTCCCGAGAAACTGTGTAAATGGGTATCCAGCTTCCTTGCAGACAGAAGCATAGAGGTCGCGGTCGACGGTGAATGCGCTGATTACTTGTCTGTGAACGTTGGTGTCCCTCGATCTGTTGCTCCTCCCTATCAATGATATGTTGGATGACAGCACGGGTCACGCCTTTTACGCTGGCCATGCTTACAATTCTCGAGAAAAGGTCATCAAAAATCGAGACTTATTTAGAGAGAATCTCAGATTGGGGTAGACTTTCCGTGGTTAAATTTAATCCCACAAAGACACCGGTCTCTATATTCACCGCTAAAAAACTGCCGTTGGTCGTATCTCCTCAATTTCAGAGCATCCCCCAATACTATAATGGGATACTCGGTGTCGACATATCGAGCTAATTAAATGTTACGAAAAATATGTAGTGTTTATTCCGCGACAAAAATCCAGGCTTGTTGCAGGATGCAATCCCACTCCTATGCAATAATACGGGTACGTATTTGAATATCGAAGATTAAATTACCTACTGTTAAAATATCGATGTTCATAACATCGAAAATGGAAAAATCGAACGACCATAAAACCGAAAATTAAAATAACAAAAGTTTATAGTATCGAATGGTTAAATATCCTACGACCTATATCTAAAATCTAAATATCTACAAAAGTTACATCGAAAGATCCAAATATCGAAATACACATTATCGAATGTCCTAAATATCGAAGTACAAACTATCGAACGTCCGAAATATCGATGGGTACATAGAACATCGAAAATGAATATAGGTACTATCAGTGTCATAAGTGCATAGGGATTTGGGATTTGGAGATTTAGGGATTGAGGAGTGATTGAGGGAGGGGAAGGATTGGGCCTCCGGTAACCTCACTCACACGGCGAAACACAACGCTGTGGTTGTTTCACGCTGGTTTTCTGTGAGGCCGTGGTATCACTCCGGTCGAGCATACCCATTCGTGCCGAAGCATGGCTCTCCCACACTTAAAAATAATAAAATATATTTCGAAACCGAAATAATAAAATATATTTTTAATAGTTTTTTTAAAATAAGAATTCTTATCTGAAAACTTATACTCAAAGGCTTTTGGGTGACATTCGCACAGCACATTATTTAAATAATAAGACATTTGTTATTATTTAAATAAAAAGGTCTTGATACTAGGCTTTATGATTTGGAATAAAAACGAGGACTTGTACCTAACTGTTTATGGAAATTTATTGAATGGTTGAAATCGTGGACTGGTAAGGACTTATGAAATCAAATAGGTATTGGTTTTTAGCTGCAAGTAATTTTTAAGCTTAAATGGGAACTTATCAGCTTAACTTGTTTTCAAGGGGTGTTTTTGAAAGAATACCTATCATTATAATTCTTATTGTTTATATACGTAGTATATCTTTTTAATTAGTGTTGCTTACCATCAAGTTGAATATCTAAAGAAATGATATCTAGATATAGCAGCATTACTGTTAAGTGTTAACGGTTGTGTGTATACGTAAGTACTCTTAAGGGTGTATTAAGATAACATACAACAATATTTCTACATTTAAAAATTGTTTCTGGTCATGAAATGTTGACAAATATTTAAATATTTTTTATAATTTTTATGTAATGCCAATAAACGTCCTAAGGTACCCTCAACGCATACGGTATGTTGGTGGCATGACGTAGTTTTCTCGATCAACGCAAATGGTGCGTTGGTAGCAACGAATGGGATAAGGAACATACGACAGACAGAGAGACAGACAGACAAACATTTTAGCCATTGTATTTTTGGCATCAGTATCGAGTTATCGACTAGGTACCAACCCCTGATAGTTATTTTGAAAATATATTTAATGTACAGAATTGACTTCTCTACAAATTTATATGTATGTATAGATTACTAAACCAAAACTAATACGATCGAAAACCACACTAAAATCGAAATGTTGAATTTAAACAATCATAAATATGTACAAAATATCCTAAAGCTAGTAAAAATAGTTGTCACCCTGATGAAAGAGATGCAAAACATAAATGACGTGTATCAAGGTCATTTTATTAGTCCTCAGTTCTTTTTTCTTGGAGCAACATCCAGTGTACTTTATAATATTCTTGGTTATGGGGCAACACTACAGACGTTTTCACGTGCTGTCAAGTGTCGGTGTCGATGTCAAATTTGACGTGTTATAATATTGAAACAAAACATAACCTCTTTTACGAACTGTTCTTATTTTTCATGTACAGAGTTCTAAAACTTCAATTTGCATTTAATCCTATTCATCATAAGTCCAACTATATCTTCATTGTTGAATACTATATGTACCTACTACTAATTCTAGTAGTATATTGATGAGCCCACGGTATTTTTACGTCGAGATCGTGTAAGTGACGCTCGTCCCTACTTAATTGCGTAATGTTGTTTTAAATGAATAATAAGTGAATTAATGACTGACTTAATACTAATACGAAGGTGCGGCGTGGACCGGAGCCGGGTGTCGTTACGGAGGGCCATTGAAGAGGCAGCTGAGCGTGTGTTCGGGTCGGCGGGCGCGGGCTCGTTGGAGGCGGACGTGGTGGCGTGCGGCGGCGGGCGCGGCCTGCTGAGGGTGAGCGCGCGGCGCCTGGCGCGGCTGCGGGCGGCACTGTCGCTGGCCGGCGCCGAGTTGCGCTCGGTTGGGCTCTCTCCTGTGCCACAATCTCTGCTGTAGACCAGATCTCCAGTGGTACCTATTACCCTTGTAATCACTATATAAAATCTCTTCAACTAAATCGAACTTCTTTGACGAGTTTTCCATTGTTTTTCTTAGTCTGACATTGAACTGTTCATTCTTTTGCTTCAATTTTAATAAGGCGACTAAACCTTGATCTGTATAATTGAACAAGATTTCTTCAAAACTAAAAGTCATGTAGTATATAATTAGTTTAGCTATCCAGTAAAAGCCGATACTGCTACCCTAAAAACTGAAATTCTTACATGTTTATGTTTATTTCTACTTATTAATATTTGGTAAATAAATGTGTGTTGTGTAGAATACTCAAAATGTCGACTCGCTCAGTACTTTCATCTGGCCTGGATGGCAAAGATGTGGTGATTGTTGCGAGCCGAGAAGAGTTGGCTACTCCCAGTAAAGTGAGCCTGCCTGAGCCGGAGCCTACGCCTGGCCTCATTCTTGCAGATGGTTCAATCAATTGGGGCTGTCCATGTCTTGGCGGCATGGCCACAGGCCCCTGCGGCTCACAGTTCAGAGAAGCCTTTTCCTGCTTCCATTACAGGTCTGTTTGTCATTATTATGTTTGTGTGCTCTCATTGTCAGTCTAGCTGACTCTAGTAGCTAGTTCAATTAGTCATGTCATGATGTTAAAGTGATACAAAACCATAAACAATACACAATAATACTTTACATAATATATATTTCAAGTGCTGTGTACCCAATACTCATTGACAATTCTTTGTGATTGGCTGGTCTGCACCCAACCATACACTATGTAATTAAAACTAAGCTTGTAGTCCTTGGCCAAATTCAGATGTGTTCTAAAACTATGAAAAACCTGAAAAAAGAACCAGTAAATGTACAAAATGTACATAATTATAATATGTTTTAATGGTCTATTAAATAATCTGTTTTGCCATAAATTTGATATTAGTACCTGGATGGTGGTAATTTGACACCTGATAATATTACTATAACGGTTTTCACGTGCCCTGTATCATAGTTCCATACTTTATGTAGACACCTATAACATAGCTCAGCCATTGCTGGAATGCTCATGCCAAGCTCGAATGTTACAGCGATGCGGACCCTAAGGGCAGCGACTGTTACGAGAAGTTCAGTGTGATGCAGGAGTGCATGTCCCACTACCCCGAGCTGTACGGGAAGGACGACGATGACGAGCTGGCCGCCGCTATGGACTCTGCCAGCGCCCCCGACGCTCCCTCTGCCGAGGACAAGCCCCAGCAGGCCGCGGTCGGGGCCGCAGGTGACGCGCGCTAGCTGTGTATTGGAACACTCACTTACCCGCTAATATTATTTTACTATTGTTAATAAAGGAGTAGATTAGGTTTACAAATGCTCGTTGTTATTTTCTCTGATAGAGACTGTCGCTGTGGGGGTGTATCACTAACCGGAACACTGAGTGCCAAAAGCCTCCGAAAGTCCGCATCATGGCTGTGGCTGTTTGCGACTGACAATGTCGTTGGTCCTGTCTAATGCTATTAAAAGGCCGAGACGAGCCCAACATTTTATAAGCACTGCGTCCTAACTCTACTTACAGTAACTTCACTTAAAATCTTATTGACTTTTTAAAGAGGTGCCACGATTCATTTGCTCACTGATCATTATGTTTATTGAATTGATTTTTTTTAACTTTGCCCCACAATAGGCTTTTTCCCAGACTCGGAACATTTCGTGTAATTTTGTCAGGTGGATGGGTGAATACTCAGATGTAGGTATATAGCATGCAGTGTGGTGAAGGCAGGGAGGATTGACATCACTTACGTACTCTATTTAACTTATATGTAAACGTAGTGATTGAGGAGCTCAGCAGTGCTGGGATCCCTGGGTGGGACCCCTGGGACCTATTCCTCCAATAACTTTAAACGGAACCGTTCTACAGCAAGTGTCCGAATCTAAATACTTGGGTCTCTGGATGAATGAAAACCTGACCAATGATATGGATAGGCAGCGCAGAGTATTGTCGGTGAGGGGTAGTATGCTTCCCCGCAGGTTTGACAATGCTAACGTCATGTTAAAGTCACACTATTTTTAAAAGTTATTGCCAAACGCTTTGCACGTGCAATATGCGGTGCAATTTCACGAAAAAAAACCTGCAATGCTCTGCGCTTCCAGTACAACAACGTATTCAGGGGTTTGTTGAGGCTCTCGTGGCGGTACAGTGCCTCCGGCATGTTCGCCGACCACAGCACGGACGGCTTCCAGGCGGTAATTCGTAAAAGAACGGCCTCGCTGTGGTCAAGGGTAAATGGTCGAACCAACACACTCTTGAACGTAGTGTCGAGTCGAGCGGACGAACAAACCCTGAGACATGAAAAAATATTGATATTTTAAATTTTAGTAAAATACATCCACTAACACAATATGGACTGTTTAATGTATATTCTGAAATAAATATCTTCAATTTCAATTAAACTCGACCAAATAGGCGTCATCCCAGTCGAATACAGCCTAGAATAGTAGGATCTGCCCTAGTCCGCACATCGGACACATACATACAACCTTTGAACAAATGTGCTGTCATCTGCATACCGAAAGGTACCGAGCCTACGCACAGCGGTCCTGACAGTGCTGACCCCTGAGGAACTCCGGCGCCGCTACCGAATTGATCAAGTCCTCAAAAAGTCTGCTATCCATCTGCCATGTTTCTGTTATAAGTACTTATCTTATAAGTATACCAATTCTGGTAATAATAATACAAAACAATATTATAAAACTACAATTATTAATTATTAGTAGTAGGTACTAGATAACTTTGCAAGTGTATTTTCCTCGGCAATCAAACAAAAGGCAATTGATGACGTAAATCCTCACACAGTCATATAAATATTAAAAAGATGTAATTATGATTTGAGTTTAATAATGATAACATTTAAACAACGATACCTATAATATAATTACAATGATTTTTGAAAATAGACAAATTTATCCCTCGGCGTAGGTGAAGCGGTTATTCGAACCTAATTCTGCAATAAAAAAATAAATCGTAAAGTACCTAAGTAGGTACATAGTTCATAATACTCATGGATTACACAGTATGCCAAGAAGCCAGTAGGTACGTTACCTCTGTCTGAAATAGTTACCTACATTCTGGAAGTGTGACGAGTCTTACCTTTATGCCAACTCTTGAATGCCAATCTTTTAGTCAGTGCTGTCAAGGTAATAATATCTACAAGTATTTCAACTTCATAGAAACGGCCGAAACCCGAACTATACCTACGCGCCCGATGTCGGGACGCGCTCGGGACGCAGACAGACGCGGCTGTACCGCAGTGACGAACGGACGGTGTGTTGTCTTTTATTTAGAAATCAGCTCGAGTACATTATTTAATATGACGAATAGGAAATATTGTGCTATTATTTCCGGTTATCTCACGAAAACAGATGTTTGAATTTATAAATAATATGAATAAAGTTATTGAGACGAGTGAAATAGGTAGTTACAGGCGGTTCTGGTTCTGAATGAATCATGATACGTTAGGTACCTACCTACTTACGCTTGTGTTAAAACGGTTCATGTATGTTTTGTTAGTTTGTATAATTCAAAGTAGAGAGTGTGGTATTTTATTATTAATTATATTTGTTTATTATCTGCGTTTATGAATAATACTAGAAAATATTTAATAACAACAATAAAACAGCTAGGCTCATGTAATATTTTGATGTTTGAGGGTTGTGATTTTAGAACATTCGTAGTCAGCTGTTCAGTTCGGCATTAGTGGCCAAAGAAATTTTGTTTGTTTATTTTTAAAGCACTTTATTTGTTTATATAAAAAAAGGATATTTACAATCACAAAACTAAATGGAAACAGAAAGTAGACAAAGGTAATTAAAATACTGGAGACGAGCAGCCCTAACGCATGTTTACGTACCGCGCGGCTGTAGGTATTTATTTCTTTCAAGCGGCCGAGTTACAATACTGTATGATATTTATACTGTGGTGCTGTCAAAACGGTGGGTCATATACCATATACCTAATCAACACGCACCTGTAATTACGCCATTCATTTACCTATTCTCAGAACATAGATCGATGTTGTTAGCAACCAGCACTTGCCCTATACACAGATTTTTATTACCCATTTAATAGTTTTAGTAATCCGAATAATATTATAAACTAGCGATTTGCCCCGCCTTCACACGGGTGCAATGCTGATACTAAATTTCTTCACTATTTTATGGATGTTATTATACTTTTAACTAAGTTCATGCAAGTAGCGTGAAACACCTGTAAAACGAAAGGGTAAACTAACTAATCGCCCCATACTCATAGTATATTGTTGCTGCATGGCGTCGCAAAGCTGCACGTATACGTATTCTTAGCGTATTTCAAGTACCTATAAGTTTGGTGTTTCTATAATGATTTCTTATTTATTTTTTATTAAACAGATAATAATATAACCAGTCCATAGCAACCCATATTCATAACCCTATCAATTTTTACCAAATTTACAAGATTTCACAATACTTAGTCTTGCATCAACCGGGGATTGTCCTTGGGTGCACTTATATAGTGCATACAGGGATAATTGCCGGCTGATGTCCCATCATATTTAGGTTAAAACTGTTCAACGGGCCTCTGCGAGTTGGCTTCGGCTCCTCGTACGCCTTCCAAAGGTCCGGGACCCTGTGGTGCCGTGAAAGGATAGAACAAACAAATAATAATATAAACTATTTTAAAAATAAACGTCAGTGCGGCCGACTTATCTTGGGTAGTCTGAAGTTAGCAGTTGGTCTGCGCAATGGACTCAAATCTACCCTGCGATTCACAACCAAAGCACACCGCGCACCAATTTAAGGTATTTTTACCTTGTGGCGATGCACATAGATTTTAGTTTTTCGGCAATCTAAGATGTCTTTTGCTACACAAATATTTGTTACCCGCAAACAGCGACGAACTGGATATGTTTCGCTAGTTTGATCGTTGTCGAGTTTCTCGATATAATGTTTACCAAACATAAAACAAATGTCCTTTGTATAGCGGGTTCTATTTACGCCTATCCCGCCTCGACATACATTCCTCGCATGTCACATAATATTTGTTATAAAATATCCAATTCCTACGATCAATTTATTCAAAGTCCAGCAAATATGACGAGCGACCTTTGACTCGAATTAGTCAGAAGAGTTTTTAGATGTTTTAGTGAAGCATGTATAACGCATAGAATGTAACGTACGTGACCACGTGACCCCAATACGTAATTATGTAGTAAACAGGTACTGAATCAACTAATGCGCCGTTGGTCGTATTATACAAATCACTTTAAGTGTGTAGCCTCCTCACTGTAGCTCTCGCCTCTTGCGGCTTCGTGATAAATAACCCGTCCGGTCCCTCGGGGATTATCCGCATTAGAGTGACGAGGACAAAGCGATAGTGCTTCACATAAACGATAGCACTGGACATGCAGAGGGAAGTGTTAAAATGTCAAGTAGAGGGGCGACTCACATTGTCGTCGCATCATCGCTTGCCACACCAGAAACCTAGGCACACAAGCGAACACATGGTAGAATACCCAAACCCAACAAAAAACAAACAGATCGCTTTTTTTACAATTTTTATTAGTCGTTTACAATGTACAATGCGCAGTACAATGTTCATTTACAATGTATGTTGGTGGAATCTTAAAACTTTTTGAAACAGATATCAACAACCGATTGAGTTGAAAATGTGAAGGTGTATGCAAGCAACTTGCCTAATTAGCCATTCAACTAACGTCCTGAATCACTAGCCGTTGCATTGTATGGCTGAATCTCAAGCTGTTAGTTGAAGAATTAAGAGATTTTGCACAAAAACCGAACTGCACCCATTATCAGAAAGCCTCTTTTTCTAGTGTTTTGCTTGTGGCTCGAAAACTATTCATAATATCTCTTTGGTGACTTCTATATTAATTATCTGCATTAAATTCCCTACAGAATATGTCTAAACATGTTTACTGTACGATCAATACTTTAGGAGATGCATAGCATTAAAAGTGATAAAATTTGTTTTATTTATTTTGGCAAATTGAAAAGCATTTTGTGATTCTATTCTCTTTCTGCATAGTTTTAGTGGCTGTGATACAACCTCAGCTATTTACAGGAAGGGCAAAATATCAGTTATTAAGCTTTATGACCAAAATTACTTAAAGAAATAGCAACTGTATTTTATGACCCAACATCAACTCCGGATGTTATAGCAGAAGCCGGAGAAAAAATGTTTCTGGAAATATACCGAGCGCCCTGTACTCAGTCTGAGATTAACAGATATCGATTCACAGTTTCTCTGAAATCTTGTACCAAGCCCAAACCGGATCTTTCTTCCCTCCCCCCTACCAAAGGGTCAGCGAAATATCACGC